TGGCATCCATGCATACACCTTACACACTCACATATACACACAAGAACATTTAGCGTCTAAAAGAAAACTTTCAAGTATCACATACAATGCACAGGTTATGAGAATGATTATTACAGACTGCCTACTTTATCCAGTGGCAAAAACCAACTCAAATATCTTTAACAAAATTTCAGAAACAATACAAATTGACTTAACTAAAAACAAAACAAACAACTCTAGACATAGAGCTCAGGTGGCAGCGGTCTTGTACAGCATGCAAAGAAAGTCCTGTGTGAGCCCAGGGCTGCCTAACACTGGGGAAGTGCACAGACCTGCAATCTCAGCACTCAAGAGACACAGGAGGGTCAGTAAGTTTACTGTTACTTCAGCTACACAGCAGGCTTGAAGTCAGCTACGGATACATAAAACACTGTTCAAAAATAAACACATAAAGTAAGAAGGGGGAGTGAGGCAGGGGAAGAGAGGGGACAAGAGAGGAGAAGAGGGAGAGTAAAACTAAATGGTTCTATTTGTTGTGCCACAATGTCCTCCAAAATACACTTCTATCTGGGAGGGAAGCTAGGTAAGGTACAGGATGCTCTAAATCCAAAAGGAAGCTAGTTAGGCTCAGTGAATAGGTAACTCAAAAGCTTCAGGAAATCCCTGCAACTGACCAGATTCATTTGGCCTCTCCTTCCCCAAGCACATACAAGCAGTAAGGACTGCCGGGAGACACTCTCAGAGGAGTGAAGCTGCCTACAACAGCTCCGCGAGGCTGAGGCGCCTGGAAGAAGCAGACAAGCTCAGCCGCCTGTAACACTCGCAAACAGTCAGGCCACCCAACAGTCTCAATAGACATCCACTCCCTTTCCTGCTGCCTATGCACAATACAGGGAGCTCTACATCCCCACAATGGGGCGGCCTTCCGGTGACAGAGCTGTCTCTGGTTGCTTCTGCTCCTGTAAGTAACTCCAAGAAAACTCACTAGCTCACGAGCTGGACTTTGGTGGCTCCCTTATCTTCGTCTGTTGTGGGTCACGTATGTGGGGGAGCAAATGTTTGTTGATAACCCCCAGGAATAGTGTTACACGCCACTACTACATATGTTGTTGTCTTTTAAATTATAGTTGAGAGGGTCTCGAGTGGCCAATGCTGGCCTCAAACTGACCCTGGCAAAGCTAACCTTGAACTCCTAATCTTCTGGCCTCAGACCCCCAGGCGCCACGATTACAGGTCTGGGACATCATGCTAAGCCAACTTGATTTGGGGGGTGCGAAGTTGGAGGAAGAGTTGAAGCAAGGCCTCATGTCTCAAATTTTTCATCAACAAAGAAAATATTGTTTAGAAGATTAGTTCAAGATATCTATTTTACAACATGGTAACAATAGTAACAAAATATTGTATACTCAAAAACAGTTGAGAAATCTTCGTTGCTTTTTTCTTTTTCTGGGGTGGGTGATGATATTTGAGACAGGGTCTCATGCAGTCCAGGTTAATCTGGAACGCATCATGTAGCCAAAACTGACCTTCAACTTCTGGCCTCTACCCACTGCTAGCTTACTGGGGGACTTTAAGTGTCCTCACCACAAAATAACTAATCAATAGGGTGTGGGTGTGTGCTCAGGCACACGCATATCCATAAAATGCATGTTCACCTGTGCAGACGTGTACACAGGTACAGGCATGACTACACAGATAAAGGTCAGAGCTCCACTTCAGATGTTACCCTCATGTGTCATCTACCAGACAGGGTCTCTCATCAACCTAAAGCTCACCGAGCAGGCTAGGCTGGCTAGCCGGAGAACCTAAGAACCCACCTGTGTCCGCCTTCCCAGTGTTACCACAAGCCTTGCTTTTGTTTTTATTGTTGTTGTTTTTTTTAACTTATGTTTTACATGCATTGGTGTTTTGCCTGTGTATTTATGTCTATGTGAGGGTGTCAGGTCCCCTAGAACTGGAGTTACAGACAGCTGTGAGCTGCCATGTGGGTGCTGGAATTGAACCTGGGTCCACTGGAAGAGCAATTAACTGTCTAAACCACTAAGCCATCTCTCCAGCCCAACCCAAGGCCTTGTGTTTTTGTTTTTTAACATGGGTTCTGAAGATCAACTCAGGTCCTCATGCCTACATGGCAAACACCTCACCAACTGGGCTATCTTCTCAGCCCTAAGATAATGTCTTAATTAGTTCTATTTAGCCAGTCCATACTATACATACTATAGGATATTTGAAATTATATACATAATTTTTTGCCAATTTTAGAACTAGATACATAATTTTTTAAAAGCAAATACTTGCAAGAAGCCAAAAACTCAAATTTTTTTTTATTATTAAAAAGTATTTTATTAGGATAGAGTGATATAGCTCAGTATTTAAGAGTCCTGGGTTCGAGTCCAACAATGTATTTACCTAGTATATAGGATCATATCACACTACACTACCCCAGCACCACACAAAAACTGACATAACAAACAAAATTTTTTAATGGGTTAAACTAGACTTTCTGGAATACACCTACAATACCAGCAATCACAAGTCCAAGGATATGAGCTCATTCCCAGTATGACCCATAGAGAAAAATCTAGTATGAAGAAAAACTTGTAAGCTATGAGAGATGTTTTTATTATTATTTCCATTGTTTTCAATCACTCCTACCTTATGAAAGATGTAGGGTGTGGAACCTGTCTAAATTATTGCAGGAAATACCATTCTAAATGAGTCAGAAATGTATCTGAGCTATGGCAGACTAGGTGCAATTAGGATGCTTACCAGATGATGCTTGCTAGAAATGTTAATGTTTATCTCTCTTCACAGTGTAAGTTTAGCCCTGTTCCCCCTGCTAAGAATGCTGTATCTAAATATATCCTCTAGAGGAGCAACTCTGCGGTCCCATATCAGATACCCTACATATCAGATATTTACATTACATTCATAACAATAGAATATTATAGTTATGAGGTAACAATGCAACAGTTTTATGGTTGGGAGTCACAACATGAGGAACTGTATTAAAGGGTCACAGCATTAAGAAGATTGAGAAGTACTGCTCTAGAGCCTGAAGATTAACCAAATAATAGAACATAAATATATACAACACTTGCAATCATTAGAGTAAAGTGCTACTTTCTTTCATTCAAGATGGGGTCTCATGTAGCTTAGAAGGCCTCAAACTTGCTATGCAGGTGAGGAAAATCTTGAGTTTAACTCTCCCGTCTTTGCCTCCAGAGTACTGAGGTTACAGGCATTTGCCAGCATGCCCAGTTTATACTGTGCTAGGGATCAAACCCAGGACTCTGTGCAGCTAGGCAAGCACGCTGACAACTCAGCTATATCCACAGCCCCGTGTTTTCTTTACATGTATAAGCATGCTGCTTTAAAGTCTAAGAGATGGCTCAATGGATAAAATACATGTTGCACAAGCCTTAATAACCTGAGTTCCACCTCTAGAAACCACAGCAGAAGTAGAGAACCAACTCCAGAAGGTTATTGTGTGCCCATCATACATGACAAACCAACATGCACCCATGCTCAATAAATAATAAAGAAACATTTAAAAGTTTTAAAATTCTGTTCCATACTTGAATTTCTATGGCACATACCAACACACCACACAGAAAGGAAAGTCATCAAATACCCACTATGTAATCTGGAGACTTGACAGGAACTATAAATTTTTTTCACTTTTTCAGGGCTTAAGGAATAAAAGCCTAATAATACCCAGAAATGCTACATAGTGACCTACCATGAACGAAGTATCATCAGCTTACATTAAAAACCAACTACTACTAGACTACATGCTTTTCTGTGTAGAAGGCAAAGTCAGACCTATAACATTTTTATAAGTACTAATATTGTAAACAAAATTGTTAATCTGTATTTTGTGTTTTTAATCTTTTTTGAGATAAAGACTCATGTAGCCCAGGCTACATGATCAGGATCCCCGTTTCTACCTCTCAAGTGCTCAGGTTACGAGTATGTACTACCACACCTGGGATAAGTAAACACAAATTTTGAATTCTGCTTAAAAATTATAACCAGGGGCTGGAGAGATGGCTCAGTGGTTAAGAGCCCTGACTGCTCTTCCAGAGGACCCGGGCTCAATTCCCAGCACTCACATGGCAGCTCATAACTGTCTCTAACTCCAGTTCCAGAGGACCCAACACTCTCACACAGACACACATACAGGCAAAAACACCAGTGCTCATAAAAATTAAAATAATAAATAAATAATTTTTAAAAGATTTGTCTAAAAAAATTTCTATCACTTTATGGCAAAGTGCCGTTAACTTAAATTCTGTTAAATTCTGCTAAAATTTCAGTTAAGAATCTCCTCAGAGGGCAAAAGCACTTGCTGTGAAAGTCTAGTGACCAGAGTTCAATCCCAGAAGCCACATAAAGATGGAAGGAAAGACAGACAGATGTCACAGGTTGTCCTCTAATTTCTACATGTGCACTGTGGTATGGCCACACACATGCATACACACACGCACGCATACACACACATGCATATACACACACCACCACCACCATCACTATCATCATAAATAAGTTTTAAAAATAATGTCAATTAGCAAAGCATGGTGGTGTGTGCCTATTGTGCTGGCTACTTAGAAGGCTGAGAATGGAGGAACACTTAAGCCTATGTACTCGAAGACAGCCTGGGCACACAGTAAGACCCTGTCTTTAAAACAGAAAGGAACCTAGATATTGTGGTGCATATCTATAACCACAGTACTTGATAAGCTGAGGCAGGAGAACTGACAAGGGCTCAGCTGGGCAACATGAGATTACCAAGAAGAACGAGGAAAAGAAGTTCCAACCCAATTAACTAGGTGCAATTTTCTAGCAAATAAAGACTTTCTTCAGTGTGCTGTAGGTAAAAAACCTGAATGTCATTAGATTTGAACCACTATATACTCTGTGATAAATTACTTAATGTTTATATATGAGTTCCATAGCCTGAAGAATAAGAATCAAAAGTATAGGCTTCCTAGAGTGTTTTGAGGATGAAGCTATCTTACCGGTGATAGGCTTCTCGGCGATATTTTTTCAAGGCATGCTTATCCATGTTAGCAGGCACATCCGCTGCATTCTGTAATCGATCACTCCAGGAAGTAGTCATTTTATTTGTATGATGAATTCTAGAAGAGAAAATCAACAATTTATAGTTGTAAACAGCACTGGTATACTAACATACCATTAAAAAACAAAACTTTAAAAAAAAACTGTAGCTGTAAGATACACACACACACACCTTTTGCTGGGTGGTGGTGGTGTATGCCTTTAATCCCAGCACTTAAGAAGCAGAGACAAAAAGGTTCTCTGTGAGTCTGAGGCCAGACTGGTCTACAGAGTGAGTTCCAGAACAGTCCAGGCTACACACAGGAACCCTGTCTCGAAAAAGCAAAAAAAAAAAAAAAAAAAAAAAAAAAAAAAACCAGCATGCCTTTCATCACAACTAGGCTACTCTTAGTTTGTAATTTTCTGAAGTCTTCACTTGCTCATTATTTTACTGCTTTGTTTTACTACTGCTGGAGATCAAACCCAAAACTTCACACATCTAAGCAAGTATCCTAAAACTGAGCTACAGTTTTATTAAAATACCCATGTTTGTGAAAACATCTGGAATATAACATTTTAACACTGCCTTCATGAATCAGTGCAGCTGTGGTATCTCCCACTCCAAAGACCATGGAGAGATCAGTCTGACTAACATTCCTTCATGAAGGGAAGACTTGGGGCCTGCATGAAACCCACCACTCCTCAAGACCATGTAAGGGGTAAACTCCTTCAGGGCACAGATTTTTATTGAGCAGTCCATACTATACATAGAATTTACAATGGTAAAGTTGCCTGAGAGTCTCTCATGAGACTAGACAGGTTACAGGTCCTAGGAGAGAACATACTATTATTATTCTACTAAATAGATGTGTGTCACGCCAACACATAAATGACTTATTGCTATGCTCAGATTGGTGCATCTCTCAACCTTTGTCAGAGGAACAACTTCTTGTAGTAGCCAGATATTAACATAAAACCCAAAATGAGCCAAAGTACAAATAAGAAAGACACCACGAAGTGCTCAACCCTGTATGAGACTCCTCCTCCCAAGGCTCAGGGATTGTTGTGGAAGAGGAGCTGTAAACAGGGTAAGAACCAGAGCCAGTGGACGACCTCAATGAAAGTATCATCTGGACACAGCTACACATATGGACTCAAAGAGGTTGTGACAGAATCCCCAAGGTGCACCCACGCTTAGGCCAGATGTGATCCCAACATGGAGGAGGGGAGTGGGTATGAAGTCCCAACCCCAACAGATAAATTCTGGAAAAGGAGAATCACTTTAAGAGAATGACCTTATTGCTGGTCACTGGTGGTGCACGCCTTTAATCCCTGCATTTGGGAGGCAAAGGCAGGCGGATCTCTGTGAGGCCAGTCTGATCTACAAAGGGAACTCCAAGACAGCCAAGGCTACACAAAGAAACCCTATTTTGAATTAAAAACAAACAAGCAAACAACTGACTTTAAGTAGGTGGACAATTGTTGGTGATATTTTGCTTATGATCTAACAAAGTTTGCCTGAAGATCAGAAGGCAAAGCTAGCCACAGCCACAGAGGCCAAGCAGTGGTTGTACACACCTTTAATTCTAGCACTCTGAACACAGAAGCAGACTGCTCTCTGTTAGTTCAAGGCCACCCTGAGCTACACAAAACTGATCAAGTCTAGAGGAACAGAGCTCACACAAAGGTGATCTCAGCATTTGGGATCCCACACCTTGAATCCCAGCACTAGAGAGGAATACAAGGCGGGAGGAGACAGGAGCTCAGTGCAGCTGAGGTTTGGTGGAGACAGATGCAGTCTGAGCACAGGATCACCCCTTCAGTCTGAGCGTTGGTGGAGGCGAGCACTCTCTAGGGGCTGGCCGCTTTGCTTCTCTGATCTTCAACTTTGACCCCAAATCTGTCTCTGGGTTTTTATTATTAATGCTAATTAGAATTCATGCTCTATCTAGCACCCAACTTTTGGGGTACAAATTCATAAAAATGCATTTGCCTGTGGATTTGAATATCTCTATGATCTGTTTTAATAAGTTTTTCTAAGGCAGAGGAAAATAAAGGAGAACCAATTTCAGTATGGTATTATAAGGCTAGAGAGGAACAGCCTAAGGTTTCAAACAACCAACCTTGATATATCCAGTAACCTTACAGGGATTCCCAAATGACAGAGGCTCTGTAAGAGCCAATGTTAGAATTAAGGAGATTCAAGAAAGTGATAGTCTCATATGGCATGCATTCACCATTTGTTAGACTCATGGTCAACTTGCAATAGAATTACCATAGAGACTAGAGAGACTTGGCTACAGCTGTTTTAAAACTTGGTCCTCAATTACAAATGAAGGCCTGGTGGAAAGATGAGGCTAAGACCTTTAAACGACAAAACAGGGCTAAAAGTATGGAAATCTCCCAAGACCAACTTCTTGGAGAAGATTATGCTACTATAGCAAGGCAATCTCTATATGATGACCACATTCTGGATTTATGCCACACAACAACTTTAAATGCTTGGGATAGAATTGGAGAAGTAGGAAAGAAAAATGAGTCACTTACTAAAGTTATATAGGACCCAAAGGAAGCCTTTACAGATTTTTTACAAAGACTGACCTCAGCAGTAAATAGAATGATAGCAAATTCAGAAGCTAAACAAATAAATCTCTGGCTTTTGAAAATGCTAATTCTCAATGCAAAAGGATAAGTAGGTCTTAAAGGCAAGATCAGCACCTTTGGAGGAATAGATCCAAAATACAATCAATATTGAATCTCATGACCATGATGATACTTGGATAAGAGAGGTGATTTCCAGAGATTTAAAGAAAAAATCAAAATGTCAAATGTTTTAATTGTAGCAAACAAGATCACCTTAAAAGGAACTGTAAACAGGGCTTTCCTAGAGACAATGCTTTTTCTAAGCATAATCCAAACAGAACACCCCCTCCCTTCTGGATTTGCAGAAGGTGTGGCAAAGGCAGGCATTGAACTAAGGAATGCAGATCAACAAGAGACATTCAAGATAAGACTTTGCCACCAAGAAACTCCTTTACAGGCCTCTCACAGGCCCCTATGCCAGATCAGTCATTTCCTGTCATCATGGAGGAAACTCCTTCTCAAGCAATTAAAGAACCTAATATCTATTGGGGAAATCCATACTGCTCTGGTAATAAAAGAGATTTAGCAAATAAAACACACAGGACAGCCAGAACTACACAGAAAAACTCTGTTCAAAAAACAAATAACAAAAGCTCCAAATGAGCTCCTTCCATACAGTTAGAATAATTCTGTGCTACAACACTAAATATCCAGTTTGCAAAATAGTTATATCTGAAAAGTAACAAATGAAATGAATTTGTAAGCATTTAAAATGTTATTATTTCATACTTTAAAAATATTTCATAGGCTAAACATATACAGTGCCCCTTTGTGACTACCATCACCCTCCACCAAAGAAAGGAGCATGGTGCTAGAGCAGCTAGAAATAATAGATGAAAGCAAAACAGGAAACAAAGACAGACTCAAATTCCAGACTCAGCCTGGCCACCAATCTAAAATCAATATTACTTCCCAAGAACACACTGATTCTAGCTGGACATGGTGACACATGCCCATAATTCCAGGACCTGAGCTTGAAGGAGATTCTCCAGTTCCAGCTAGTCCTGGTTATGCTGCAAAATCCTGTCTATCAAAACTTTAAAACTAAATGCTAATGGCCAATACATAGGAAGATAGCTGTTTTGGTGCTGCTGCTGCTCATTTTAGATAGGAGCTTTTTGTATAACTCAGGCTGATCTTGAATCTGTAATCACCTTGTCTCAACTTTTGAATGCTCAGACTGTATGTACATACCAGTATACCCAACAAATCCATTATTTTAAAACTACAACCAAAGCAAACTGACATTTGATTTGTTATCTGACACAAAAGAAACCTTTTACTATCCATAAAATGTCAATAAAAATCCAATATTTATGATATCCTATTATATTCAAGTCCAAAATCAAAGTTTATAATTGGCAATCAAGACTTATTTTCATAATTAAACATTAAAACAAAATATCACACTTCCAGAGTTTATTGCAACAAAGGTTCTTTGATCATGCTATTTTAAGTGAACTGAGGACTTTAACAGTGTGTACTAGGAACTTACCAGGCAAAGTATTTAACACAGCCATATTAATCACATACTTTTCAATGGGATAAACGTCATAACAATTAGTAAATATGAACAGCCACTGCTTTACATTAAAATTTAATTTTGGAGGGCTGGAGAGCTGGCTAAGTGGCTAAGAGCAAGTGTAGTTCTTGCAGGGAAACCAGGTTCAATTCCCAGCCTCCCACTGGATGGCTCACAACCCATAACTCCAGTCTTGAGGGTCCAATATCCCTCTTGACTTCCTCAGGCACCAAGCACACTTGTGGTAAACATGCATACAGAAATGAATACATCTAATAAAAACTTAACAACAACAACAACAAAAACATTCTTTGAAGCCGGGAGGTGGTGATATATATCTTTGATCACAGCACTTGGGAGGCAGAGGCAAGTAGATCTCTAAGTTCAAGGCCAGCCTGGGACACAGAGTTCAAAGACAGCCAAGACTACACAGTGAAACCAGGTCTCAAAAAACAAAACAAACAAGCAACTTTATTTTGTATTAGAAATAAAAACTTGGAATTTACCAGTTTTTATATTTAACCATCTCCAGTCTGAAAACTCTAACTGAAAATGGGAAGGATAATTCTTAAAAAAAAAAAAAAAATCTTCACATCCGTCCAGAGCTTATTTGCTCTTAATACCTCTTTCATTTACATACATTAAAGTGTATATAATAAAGTAGGTAATTTTATGGAAAATGAAGTTAATGCTATACCCTCCACTTATCTGCCTATATTGTACTGGGTAGTTGCATTTTATATAGCCCTTAATTAACTCTTAACCTTTGACAGATGGCCAAGTGAAAGCCAAGAGCACAGTGGTTACCCAGCTGGCTTTATCATTATATTGTGCTTATGGATCTCCCTTAATGCATCTGCAAATCAACTAGTTTATAATACATTCCCTTAAAAACAAAATTTTGCCAGGCAGTGG